AAATTTCCACTGAAGACACAAGACTTTAGTAGATGGGAAAACTAAGCTAACAACACCAACATGCTTGACTAAAAGCCTTGAGATGTTTCATTACATATAACAGCGCAGGGCCCGGCACCGATGGTTTGGGGTCAAACTGGACTTCGTTTTTGGGGTTAGAAGCAACGGGGACATCGTTTTTATGAGGTCCTGGAGGAAACGCCAAAAAAAAACACGACGAACATGTCAGGTTTTACAAGTTGAACGTGTTCTATCGCAAGCGCGCGAATTTCAAATGCAAGACTCAAACAAACAAATGGCTTGTTTACAGCGCACAAACAATCACATGGCTCCGAATTTGGGCTATTAGTATAGAATATTACTCCAAACTATGTTATGTAAAAAGCTCCCAAAACTTATGTGTCCTAATATCCCTTCTCGAATTTGTTGGTTTCTAAACCAACTACCAAACCAACTGGGTTGGTTCGGAGCATAAATATCGGAGAGTTCACATAAGTTTTGGACCTTTTTAATTTGTACGATTAGAACGGTCAAAAATCTATCATATAGTGAAGAGAGCGGATCAAACCGTTGCCTCTCCCCTTTTTTTTGAGTCAAAATTAGTATAATTCTACGCGTTGTTAGATATCGCGCTCCAGTCACTTGCGGTGTCCTTTGAAATATGTGGCGAAAATGCATCGCAGGATTGTTGAGGCTACAGATTTGGTTGGCCTAGGAGATTCTCGACATTCCCAGCATCAAAATGGTACTATAACCAATGGCAGAGCCTTTAATCGACTCGAAATGTTTTCTTTTTGCTTTTTTGTATATTACATACCTCAAAATGCGCTTTTTTCGCTTTTTTGTTGCTATTTTGGTTGAATAAGGGTTTCCCTACTGATTTTCCTGTCGAGAGAGACTTCGTAAATTTTCGCGAAGTCATGGGGGACTTCGTTTCCTAAAAACCTCCAAACCAACGCGTGCCGGGCCCTGTAACAGCGCGACATGTTGAAGTTACCGGATTTGAATGTATACTGCATATAATCAGATAAGACCAAACTTGCAGCAGCAATTCATCGAAATCACAGCCGCACTTCAATTTGCCGCTGCATTCCTGCGGTAGGTGCAGTGAATGCGGCAGTTTAAAATGCAGACAACCGATGGGTTTTAAAATCACTCTCACTCAAAACATACTCTCAATGTTAAAAACAACATGTAAGTCAATGAAGAAATCTTTAAGCGAAAGTAATAATCCGATTCCTTTCGCGACGACTGCTTGCACACTCTTGTGGTCAAGGAAGCGGCGCGGGAGATTGGGTCATACCAGCAGCTTAAGCTTGTATAAAGGTACTTTTTGTATAAAAAGCTCTGAGCTCATATGCACTTACTTTGATCTTCCAGCAACTTTTAAACTATTGCAAAATTTAGCATGTAACAGAAGTCTGTCTGCTTGATCGTTTGGGCGTAGCAAGGATTTGTCGAGAGCAGGAGCAGCTTACTGCAAGAATGATAGGCAATGCCACTAATACAGCAGACATATGCACTGGCCTTGGATGGACCATGCTGTACCATTACTTCGTAAATCATTTCATAGATAGTAGCGTACAACTACATTGTGAACTATTCAATAGATAGCAGCGGATCAGCCGCTGACTATCAACAGCGGTAATGCGGAACAGCCTGACAGTAGCAGTAATAACCAACACCAGAACTGAGCATTTGGGACCTTATGCAACTGTTGTGGGCTTGAGTAACCTAAACGCTCACTTTTGGTGAACAACAGTATCACACAGCATGAAGATTGCCTGCATGAAAGTAAGCGCCGCGAGAGATTATCAAGCAGGTGAATGTGACCTGGCGGCTATGTTGTCAGTGAACAGTAAGGTTTATTACCTAAAAGCTAACAGTTACTGAATATAACATACGTGATGATTCTGCAGTAAAAAGGTTGTGGATTACGTAAATAATCTACTTCATTCGCCCTAGTTGTCGTTGACAAGAAAAAGAAGCAGGATTCCCATTACTTTCGACCCCACAACTTGGGCATCAAAAGCGAAAACTTCTGCAACGGCAGAAATAAACTGTTGATATTTTCATAAAATCGGTAGTAGAATGGGGCCGTAACCATAAGACATCAAGTTTCGCAGGTTTCTTAATGATCTCAATGATTAACTGGTAGGATGATGTTTTTGTCATCTAATGTGAAGTCACAAATAGGAAGTTCATATTTGCAAATTATGAAGTCAAAGTTTTCTTTGAATATTGGGTCATCCCAAAGGTTTCGTTTTTCACACTTCTCAATGAGCGAAAAAATATTTACAAACGATGTTGGCGCATTCAATACGGTTTTTATGCTCTTGAATGGTTACATTTATTGTGTCTCAACCAATAATTCTCGTAAATTGGCCACAAAACACAACCCATGGTTTTCGCCGTGGTCAAAAACTGCCTGTTTAATCTATATTGACCTTTTGAAGAAGTCTCATTAACGATGGAGAGCACAAACGTCCTGGAAAGAAAACAATTTTTCACCTTTCCATAACTCGCAATAAAAATTATCAAATTTCAGCAAGCCTATCCCAGACACCGCATCAAGAAGAACTACATCAGTAAATCTGAATAAGTAGAGTGTTTAAAAAAAATTCCAAAAGTGAACAGATTCAACCCTGATCTTACAGAGTAAAAGAGCGTTTACGAATCGAAGTATCAAGTCACGAATGTCCGAAAAGAATAATGGTTTTTATCCTGTAGGGTTATCCTTGCCCTATCCAAACGTTACCTTTTTTGAGAGCTCGTTGCATAAAATGCAATATAAATGCAAGTATCTGAAAAAGCATGAGAGACTGCATCAAATGCTTCCATTGCTTTCACGAATCTTTGGTCGGAATGTGGTACATGTTTGAAACGCAAAATTATTTTCAGAATGACCTAATAATCACAGTTAGTTGGCATCTCCAGTCTTCCCGGTTCTACTGTATTGCTAATTATATGCTGCATACCCCTCTCCTGTTTCCTTCATTCAGCTTTTCCTTCAAAATTTTGCCTTCTGTGGATCTCGCCGCCAACTTTTTCCTCTTATAATTTTGCTAGTGACTGCGAGCCCTCCTCTGATGGGATGGGCTACTGCGATATTCTCTTCGTGCTGCCGCATCCTTTTTATAGAGAAAATCGAAGGAGTTACAGTCATTGCTTACATGAAACCGTGGAAATGAATTGTTGATCTTGGATAAGGACTTTTGTTTTAAGGTGCCAAAAATGGACTTAAGGACTAAGGGAATAGCTTAAGAAAGCAACCCACTTCGTGAAGGTCAAAAACATATGTGTGCGAAGTTTCAGCTGACTTGATCGTACAGCGGAGTGTATGACAAACATATACTACTCATACATGTAGAGTATGGTGTGGCTTTCTAAAAATGATTCTCCTCCTTCAGAAAAGTGTTTTGATCGAATGTTGATGCACTTTTGAGCAGTGAATACATCATACATGCTACGAAAATATAATCCGTTTGGTTTGTAGACGAGCAACGAAAATAGAAGTTATATGCAAATTGATAAAAAGAAAGCAATTTTTGACAAATGGAAGACGAGAAATGCTAACAAAGAAAGTTTGCTTAAAAGAAAAAACAGCACTTCACATCACATTTTATTACATTCCTGGCAAACCAGCATTTTTTTGACTTTCTCAGGCTTGCAAACGTATTCAACGCTTGAACATTCACACTATAGCTTTAATAAAAGATGAGTAAACACTGCCAGGGAGAACCTTATCTTACCTTGATAAGCTCAGGCAATTTCGTGTGTGGCAACTCTCAAAGATACATGCAAACTGCCATTGCTCACTTGAGTGTTTCTTTGTTATCTACTTTCTTTTAGGGTAGTTCTTCTGCCATTCCGCTTTTTTATGGAGACTTGCGGAGTGCTCAATAGTGCTACTAGCAAATTGAACAACACAGTCACAAATTTCGAGACAAACATTTTTATATTGTTATGATTGGACAGCACAATGAGAAACTTATGAGGCGACCATTTCGCTTATATCTAGGCCTTGACTTTGTATTTTGATGTAACATTTTATGAGTTAGAATTGTTTCAAATTGGACGGTATTTATCGATTGTTCGTATAGTTTTCTTTGCATCGCTGTTAACATTTAAATGAATAGGAATGACTAATAGATTATTCTATCTTTCCCTCTGCTATTCCTTCTCCCGTTCGAAAAGATGTCTGCCCTTTAAGAGCAGTCGCCATTCAGTTTTATCCAAAGTTCCCTTTTTTAATTTTCGATTGTGAATCCGCCCATAAGCTGGCCTATAGATATAAACATATTGTTGGGCTACGCATGCTGAGATCTTTTTGCAAAGAAGCCTATTGGTTTTGGAGAAGGAAACCTTATTTTTCGAATGCGCTGCTTGCTGACTGAATGTGCTTAGTTTTTTTTGGAAGGAAAATCCTTCCTCTATTGCTTTGTCCACTTCTTCATAGATTTCGTTTACGATTTCAAAAAGGAATGTATGTTTGATAGCTTATCTGTTAACCGTTTCAGTCATTTCTGGGAGGAGAGCTATGTTCCACCTAAAGAAGCTTTAGATCCCCAGCTTTACAAATTTCTACCCCTCTTCATTTTTCGCCTGACGTTGCTTATCAATCAAACAGAATTAGAAGTCACTTATATGTACGTAACAAGATATTGATAAGCCACTGGACCAGCGTTTCGAAACTAGAGAGAACAATTAGACTAAGCATGCATCTTAAAGAACATAAGCTAGTTTGTGCCAGACGGCTACACAGGTTTCGTAAAAGTGCGCAGATTTGTTGGATCGTGTACCAAAGATTTTTCTTGTTGCAAAAATCGAATGTTTCTCAATCGTTTACGTTGTCAGAAGGCTGAACTATGTGGCAGATTTCATTCCATTCTGTAGCGCACTCTGTGATCTAAATTGTTGTTCTTCTTAAGGTGCTTCTGTGTGTAGCCGTAGCAAAAAGCTGTGAGGCAGATCTTCTTCGACTTCTTATTTTTACAAAGATGGGCCGAATCCAAGGAGTATTTCTGATAACGGGCGCAAATCGTGGGATCGGATTGGAAATGACTCGATCCTTGTTAACTATGTCTGATGTATGTAGAGTGTACGCTGGCTGCCGTGATAGGGAGAAAGCTGAGGTAAGCTGATCTCAAATCAATTCTCCTTTTTTAATAATTCTTTGTCAGAAACTCCGCAACTTGCAAGATCCTAAAAAGAAGCTTCGTGTTGTGGAACTGGATGTTTCCAAAGGTTTGTCTGTGCCTTATGCTACCCCACCCTAATGCGGTTTTCTTTTTTTGAGGACAATTTCTCAAGTTTATTGTAAGTGCTTGACATGAAAATTCTTAGACTGGAGCATAAAAAACGCGTTAGAGGCTGTTGCTAAAGAAAGTGGACACATCAATGTGCTAATAAACAATGCAGCTATACTTGAGAAGGTAAAAGATCAATTATTTCTATTCTTTCATGTCCACCTCTGATTTTCATGTCAGGAAGTCTGGTTTAACTGAAAACACAGCGGGAAAAATTGGAGTATTAAGATGTTTGCAAAAATTATAGCAAGAAACCATAACCTTATAGGATCACAAAGGAGGAATCCCAGATGGCGACCGAGGAGCCTGGCTACGACATTTTGACATCAACATTGTGTCTTATGCGATGATGATTCAAGTATGGAAAACAAACATTCATTTGTCAACGAAGGGTTTTGTTTTAGGAGTGTCTTCCATTACTGCGGGTTTCAATGTCACAACAAAAACCCGCAACTATAATTAATATATCTGGTAGAAAAGGATCTATCGAACTATGCACGGGCACAGAGGAGGTCCACGGTAATTATGCATACATGTGCAGCAAGGTAGAATGAATAAGCTATTCTGCGCTTGTTTTATTTTGCTTTTGCTTAGGCCGCAGTAAATCAACTCACCCGTGTACTTTCTCTGGAATATCCATCTATGCTTGTTGTGTCGATGTGTCCTGGATGGAATCGAACAGATATGGGTGGACCAAAAGTGAGCTTTCCATTTACTTTTACTGTTAACCAAGCGATTTCTTTCATTATATAGAGAGCACCCTACTGACCGAACTTACAGGGTATGAAAGATCCGTCCGAAACGGCTCCAGAGCTTCTGAATACAGTAAACGCTATGGTTACCTCTGAACATTCCGGAAAATTTTGGGACCGAAAAGGGAGACCCATCCCCTACTAAGAGGCTTTCTTCTGTATACATAAAACCAACTATGCTCATAATACTGTAACAGTGAGTGTTTTGTATATGTTGTACCTAGTGTACTCTTCATTAAACATAGTTACTGAGCAGCCTTACCTCTTTTGTGAACTTGACATCAGTGACTAAGTGGGTCACGCATAAATGTGTAGTGACTCATCTCGCAGATTATATGAACGTAGTTTGTTAATGAATGTACTCAGAGGTTTGTTTCAACTTGCGATGTACCAAACTTGCCAAAACTCAAAATCTTATAAAACTTTTCACCTCTAAATTCTGTGATAGTATGCGGAAACTTACCATAAACTCGATCTTTACATAAAAATTCCTACAAGAAGCCAATAACGGATGACACTCAACGGTACTACATTGTTAGAACAAATTCCTTGGGAAAGGGAAGCATATTTGAGAGCCTATTAAGCTTGTGTGTTCCCTTTCTACCGCGTACTCCTTACCTCTGTTTCCGACAAAGGAGGCACCAGTGTGTCATTTCTGTTTGCAGTCTCGCGTCATACTATCTAATGTGTTCCTTCTGCGCGCACCAGAAGATTACTTGATTATACGACCTCATTATAATTACTCAGAAACTTCCCGGAAGAGAGAAGGAAAAAAGGCTGTCCCTGACAAACGCTTTCTATTGTGAACACCAAACTGATCACAAATCCATGCCACTGATTAGGTGTTGCATAGTTGTTGCGCGGGAAGATAAGGACTCCTCGAAGAGTATAGCATTCCTTCGATTGATATGCATCAAACATGTGCAAATTTTTGTCGCCGATCCAGCGATCGCCAGCCGCTGATATCGGCAACTGTACATTGAATAGCTATCGATATGTCTAGGTTTCTTTTCAAGTTCATACATGCCTAAACGATACGTACCAAAAGTATACTCGCCGAAATAGCGATGGTCCTTTTTTTGGTAAGTTATTCTCGTTAATTATAAAAGGAGTAAATCACAAGATTTTCCACTCGAAAACCGCTACTGCAGGCAGTGGTGAGTACATTGAAGTTTACACGCAAGTTGCTGCGGGTTCTATTTTTGATAATCCATGTTAGGCTTTGAAATCAATGCGGAACTTTGATTTTACTTCCCCATTTCATCATTGCTTAGATGTGGAGAAACTCAAAAGAGTTTTTTTTGCAAGTACAAAGAGGAAACATCTCTTTGCCTTGCAAATAATTTTATTTCACGTTTCTGCTTAGAACAGTGATACGCATGACAACTGTTTCCAAAATATCTCTTGCTATCACGCAACAATAGTTTCATAATTTTGATTTTGAATCTGAAAAAGAGGAAACCTTTACGAGCAATTGAGAGTGAAACAGCAGTCATTACGATCCAGACTACAAAATAAAAAACAAGCAACAAAATAGAAAAACATCTTCGCAGAACGGCAATATAAGTCCGCATATTAGGTCGTTCCGGAGGTGCTCTCTTTTTCTTTCAGCAAGTGCCACATCCAACAAAGCGAGGATTCTCGGCTACAATGTGATTGACAGCATATCACTTTCCTTCAAATGCCAATGTTTCATTGTAATTCAATAAATCAACGCGCTGTCATAAGATCACCAAACTCCGCAATTAATGGTCAATGGTCAATCCGAATCCAAAGTTTCAAATACCCACGCGATAGCGTCTATGCCACAGCCTATTACAACTTTTCAGATAGCGATAGATAGCGTAAACAAAGTGCAACTATGTGATTTTTTGACATTTTCAAAAAGCTTTTCGCTATTTTCAAAATAACTTCTCCAAAAGTCACTATTTTGGCGATGTAAATTACGCAAAGCTCCAACCAATAAAAAATCTTCAAAATTTGAATCTTTCAAAACACGGTTATGACGACGATGCAACAGTCTCACAATACAGTTAAACGTTTACCGCTTCAAAATATCAATCTTCGGGTGCGTGGCTGCAAGTCATTAGTCGCATGCCCGTGTCCCGCGTTTGAGAATGGCTACTACGTCAAGCTGCAGCCGATATGGCCCGTTCGTGCAGGTGGAAAGGCTGGACGAAAGATAGATGGTAAGAGCTGCTTATAACTGACTCAGGATATGGAGGCTTGGGAACCTTAGATACCCACATCACCCGTGACTACATACCAAGCATCTGGTTTGAGACAAAACAAGTTGAGCGTAAGGGAACTTGGTACCGACTTTGAGTGTGCTTTTGCCAGATACGTTAAGAACGGATTAACACTACTATTTCTTCGCTTTTGATCAGCTTCTTCCGTTCCCTTCATGGTTGAACCTCACCAGTACGAAAACTATCTGGGTTATGAAGCACTTCCTTTTCGCTTCGAATAGAAAAGACAACCGATATGGCGACTGTTTTATACAGACGCAGGCCCGCCAGCAACGAAAAAAGCTTGGAAAAAGTCTGCAACTCGGAGCCCTTTTATTCGCATCCGCGTCTTGATGTTCCTTAGGCCAGACCCATTTTATTTCACAAAAGTTTTACTTCGAAGGCTAAGGCTATCGGTTCCTTTGTGTAAAAATAACTTGTTTGAAAAGCAGTTGGATCACCTACCTACCTCTCGTGATATGCATTGAGTCAGTAATCACGGAACGTCATCTCTTGCATTGCCTTTCGATTTGTTCGGCAGTAATGCGGGACTTGTGCATACTTTCAAACTCATTGGCGGATAGCCTAAGGGACACTGATGACAACTGTGTAAACAAGATTTTTGTGTTATAATTATGAAGGCAGTTGTGACAATGCGGTCTTCCAATGCAAACACGCGTATTGTGCCCTGCGGCACACGATAAATTGACTTTTTCAGATTCTGAATATATTATCGGATGGAGTAATCAGTGCTGAGCCCAAATATAACAACAAGAATCAAAAAGAATAGTTTGTGGGAAATTGTCCGAATATGGCGTCTCCGAAATCAGTATCCCGTTTGGCACAGAAAAATGGTAAATTTTTCAATTTTTAAGTATACTGTAGCGGCTCGGTGGGCCCTAAGAACCTAGATGTACCCGAGTCCTGTGCGCTCACCTGCTTATTACATACGACGCAACCTAGCCTACCACTTTAGCCTAGCGCGTAAAGCACAACGTTAAATTACTAATAGTGTATCTTGATTACACAAAAAAAACAAAGCATAGTCAAAATACTAAACTAAAACTTATGCAGGAAAAACCTTAACACGGGACAGAGTGCCTCATCTCGTGCTACCGATGGGGGACTTTTCATAACATCTAAACATAAAATAATGCTCTTGAAGCTTCACCTATACAGATCCGCCACGCGTCGCCGGATACCAGGCGCGACACCCTTCCGCTCCCAAAGTTTACAAGATCTTAATATTCTAAATCCCAAGAGCTCCAAAAGTGGCTTGTCCAAAACAATTCATCTATCTTGAATTCCAACTAGTATGAATTCTGAACCGCTGGACTGCTAAGCGAAAGAGATATTAAAGGTGGGAGCTAAATTGTCAGGCACGAGCATAATAGAAAACAAGAGAAAAGAATATCGATCGAAAAGTCAGGCGAACAGACGCTGCAATGAGGCGCCGTAGCTCTGTATATAGCCTTTTAACTAGCAACGCGCCAAGGCAAGGAGAGGTCCGGACGCGATTGCGGCAAGCGGGAGAAAGTAACGTAATCATCGCCGAATAGCGCGGCAGGGGTAGGGGAACGAAAGCCGCCAGTTTGGGCCACCTCCGCGGACTGCTGGTCTTGGAACGACATGCAACAACGCTGCAAAAGGACCAAATGGCCGCGAAAGACGTCTCAAACTGGCGGCTTTCGTTCATCTACCCGCGCGGCAGCACCACTGCTGCTGGCCTCCTACTTCTAGGAGCGCTAGCATCGCGGAGCCGCGACACTCCCCCAGAAGCAATGGACTTGGGCGTTTGAGAGGTGGTTAGGTGATAGCACTAGGGAATCTGCGGTTAATTTCTTTAGCCGAAATTTTGGATGATAGAATGGAAAAGAAATAAAGAAAGTGTATTGGTAGCACAGTAAGAGCGCGACGAAAGTGAGTTGAAAATGACCCGTCCCGTGTCGTGAACTACCATTAGATAAGTTAGTCAATGAGTTAACGAATATACGGGGTGTTCCAAAAAATGTGAACACTGTTTGATTGTTAATAACTCCCTTGCTTTCCTTCCGCCGAGCACGAGGCACCATTCTATAAACCGAGATTCAACTTAGATCTACAGTATAGAGCGAATCGTCGATCACTCTCCACTACTGTAGGATTACGGTAGGAACTTCGACAAGGATTTAGGCCGTTGGAGGTCATATTCTTCTTCGGAACAAAACCAAACAAGCCGAAAACTCTTATATCATGGTAATAGAAGCCGCTGAGTTTGATATGAAATTTCCACTTTACTGTGATGCTTCTTTCCAAGGTTATCCCAGCTAAACCGTGCGAAAACCTTAGTACACGATTTTTTAGACTCTTTGAAAAAAATTTTGTTACGTGGCACATCTCACATTAGATATCCACTTACTAAAAGTTCATACCATAATCCTACAGTAACGAACAGCGATCGGTGATTCACTCCATATTACAAATCTAAGTTGAACCTCGTTCTATAAAACGTTCCTCAAGCTCGGCGAAAGACTTGAAAGCAACGGAGTTATCAACGATCAAACAGTGTTTATTTTTGGGACACCCTGTATGCGTTCGCAAACTCGAAGCAATTAATTTGATCACGCAGTTAGTAAATGGTCTAAGAAGACAGTATAACGACAAAGTAAAACCAAAATTATACACTTTGTGTAATGAAGAACAACCAAAAAGCGATGATTATGATAAAGAGGCTCTTAAAAAGGCACAGCAGCATTTTGTTATTGTACCCATAGACAAAGCAAACTCTAACTTTGCTTTCATTTGAAAGAAATTGCACCTGAGAATTAAAAAAGGAAATGGAAAGTCTAGCAGAGAGAGAAGTACTTGCATCACTTCAAGAAAAGGAAATTCGTACAAAACAAAAAAGGGTCCTCAGTGAAATGAATATCAGATTTAA